CTTCCCCCACCGCACCCCCGCCGACAGGGGAGGAGCGCCTCACCGCGATGCCAAACCGCAGGATGCTGTCCTCGTTGCACTGCGCGATCACCTCCTTCAGCATGGAGCCGTCGTGCGACTCGCCGTCGGTGACTACCACCATGACCTTGGTGGCGCCCGGCCGGCCGCCGGCAGCTGCCGTGTAAGCAGAGTTTCTGTGACAGATGAAATGACAGGCTCACTACAGCGAGGACTTTCCAACGGGCCTGTCCTCAGCCTTGCGACCCCGCCGAGCATAACCTGGGGACTCAGCATGTCTCTCCCGTCGGCAGAGAAGCAGGGGAACGGGAACCGGAACTCTGGCCGGCACTGGCAGGCGTGGCCTACGGCCTTCCCCGCGTGTACGGTGCGGGATACGTGACCTCTCCTTCTTTGCTATCCCGGAGCGAAGGGTGAGCGCAAGTTACCGCTTCTCTCTGCCCTCCCTCACTGACAGGCGCGATCGCGTGGGGCTCACCTTGCGAACTGAATGGCCTTGAACGTGTTGGTGAGGTCCCCGCCCTTCTGGACCGTCCTGGATGTGGCTGCAGTCATCTCAGCTTTGGTTTTAAAGGTGTTCAGGTTGAACACCACTCGGGGCTCGTTGGCGTACTGAATGAGCCCCACCTGCGGGAGAGCAGACGTTCTCAGACGCTGGTCAGTAAGTTAGAAGTCATTCTATTTGGCCAATCAAATGAAAATCCAAAGTGCATTTAGATGTGGGCTGAGAGCTTAAGGGAGCCATTTTCCACTTTGTTTGTAAAACCAGTTTTTTTTCTTCCAGCGAAATGACTCCTCTGTTGGAGGCTGTACGTCAAGCATGTCAAACTCGCGGCCGCACGCGGCCCACAACAAATATTTCTGCAGCCCAGCCAATATGACGGTAAGAAATGTTGTCATAAAAATTTCATAACTTCACTTTTACAGTATCCTGTTATGCATAATTATTAATAATGAACTACAACATTCACTAATGACTGATGACTATTCATTTGTATTCATCTCCCTCACGTGCAGGTGTACCATTTCCCTCCACTAATACTAGCAGCGAATATTTTAGCAGCCGATGGCCACGTCATTAGTCTTGGACTGACTTGTTTGGTGTGCGCAACAGGAAATAATTCGCTTTCGGAGAACAAGAAAAATAGGTTTATTTGCGTTATGCTTATTAACTTGTGCAGTTATTCAGTGTCTGGTAAGTTAATGTTCAAGAAAAATTTATTAATTTTTTATTAAATGCAAGTTAATGTTCAAGAAAAAGTATTAATTTTTACTAAAATGTTCTATAATTTTATGATAACGATCACTCATTTATTTCAGCCCTTTGTATTCAGCATGTCTCTATCACAATAAACCTACGTTTCTGTGAAAATGGAAGCTTTTGATTTTTTGCGGCCACATAAACGTAAACCTTGTTCATCTGGCCCGTGGTAGCCCTGGAGTTTGACGCGCTTGCTGTACGTGTTTAGCAACAGCGGTGATCGACAAGCAGGACGAAGTGCTATCGGACCCGATTTGGCCCTCAGGAGTGGTAGCTGTAACTGTTAAGCACTGCCCTGTAGTATTTTAATGTGGGTAAATATTACAATAAAGTTCATACCAGAAAGATAAAAACATTTTAATTGATGATGGATGCAAACATGTAAGCAACTGTGAGCAGCTGTGGATAGGAGAGAACATCTCATCAATTCAGGATAATTATATAATGAGCAAAGAATAAGGTTCAAGCCCTGGCTGGTTTGGTTGGGTGGATAGAGCGTCGGACTGCGGACTAAAGGGTCTCAGGTTCGATTCCAGTCAAGGGCACATTGAGCCCGGATTGTGAGCTCAATCCCCAGTGGGGGGATGCAGGAGGCAGCCAATCAATGTTTCTCTCTCATAATTGATGTTTCTATCTCTCCCTTCCTCTCTAAAATCAATAAAAAATATATTTAATAATAATAATAAGCATTCAAGACAACTGATTACTGCTCATAATTGATGCAGTCACTTCAGATTATTGTGTTTATTGCACGGGATTTCCTCTCATCGCACTTCAGGTCTGAGACGTCACCTGTGCTTGTGGCCTGGGGCCTCTGGGCTTCACAGAAAAGCCCTTCAGAGTCTGATCTGAGCGCTGAGACAGAACAACTTCTCAGTAGACGTTGGGCACGTCACCCTAATCCTTTAGCTCAGGGGTGGGGAACGTCCGGCCCATGTGCCTTCATTTGGCCTGGCCCAGCCAAGGCCTTCGGGGTGAGTTAATGAAATGACCAAATAGAACAGCTAATTTTTAGGTTGATCATTGTTATGGCCCCAGAATGCGTTATAAACATCCAAACGGCCCTTGGCAGAGAGAAGGTTCCCCCCTCTTGCTTTAGATCAAGAGGCTCAAACACTTCTTTTACTGTCCTGGTTCCCAGCACCGAAATCACCGTGGATGCCTGGGGCTCCCAGAGCAGGAAGTGGCGGTGAGAGTCCACTGGCCCAGGGGCTCTGACACACTGGCCTGTGTCAGGAAGGTGAAGGGGCGGGGCCTGGAGGGCTCAGTTGCATCAGCACTTTCTCGAGGTGGAGAAAATATAGCACCGAACGCTGGTTTTAGGTTTTGTAAGACCTGAGTGTGAGGGAAGGACCCCCAAAAATGGGGAGTCTAACATGAGAAGACAGGACCCGGCCCTGAGCTTCGGGGTGAGGAAGGGGAGAGCTGGGCAGGAGGTCTGAGGAGATGAGGTCTAATGGGACATCCAGGACCCCGCTGACGGCGGTCCCTGGGCTGATACAGCCAGAATGAGCCCGGAGTGGCAGAGCCAATAGGAAAGGAAGAAAATCCCCAGAACTTTCCAAATAAGGGCTAGTCCCTTTTCCAGAAGCAGAAAGGGTTGCTCCTGAGTTCCGGGTGCCCGTCCCCAGAAGACGGAAAAGCAAATTCAAGACTCCTTCTAGCAGCGGTCGCCAGCCTTCGGAACCCACGGGCCATCAGTGTCCGCAGACCACCGGGTGGCGACCGCTGCCTTACAGCACAGAGAACTACGCAAAGTTAGTGAAGAGGCCTGTCCTGTGTAGGAGGAGGGGAGACTGGATAAAAGACTAGATGAAACATAATAAAAGACCATAACGTAATATAAAGTGGAATTATGCTGTCTACAGACTTATTCATAAAAATCCCAGGATTCCAGGATAACTGTGTAGCAACAAGGCGTAAAAAAGAGTCATTATCAGTCCAAGTAGGTGTAAAGGAAAGATACATATCTGATTTTAAAATACATTAATAAATTCATGAGCTAGAGGATGAAAATAGTAAGCAACTAAAGAGGGTTAAAATGGTATCCCCACGTCTGACGCTTTGTCAGAAACAGGATCTCAGCTCAAAGACCCACAGTGGGCGAAGTGACGCGCAGAATAACGCGAACAGTACAAGTTGCATTTCACTCTCCAGGTCGGCATTGAGTGCAGTCAACTGGGGATCTGGCGAATGCAAAGGGGAAAACTTCACACCCAACACTACTTTCTCGAGAAGAAGGCCGCGGGTGAACGCATGTGCTATTGACGTCCGTACCTGTGTCTTCGAGGGGCCTATATCCAGGCCTTGCACAAATTTTTCCAGAAAGTTCTTTACTGCCACCCAGGGGTAGATACTGTTTGATTCATCGCACACAACCACCACGTCGATGAAGGAAGTGCAGGCTGCACAGGGGAAGAGGAGAAACAGATTTCTGAAGTCACTAAAGATGAAGCGGTAACCGAGAGCGGAGGGGCCGGGGGTGCCCACACGTTTCCCTGCCTTGAATGGCGGCGCCGCCCGGGCCCGCCGTGCACGCTTCACTCACTCTGCACCGCCGGTGAGAAGCTGCCCAAGAGCTGGAAGTCGGGGCTGACATCGGAACAGACCCCGGTGGTGTAGTACTGGCTTCCGCACTGCTGTGCCCACAGGGGCCCGCATGTCTGAAAAAAACGAGAGCAGTGACAGAACGTGGAAACCATTAGACCCCACTTCCCCGTCTGAGACTCACGCCCATCCCTATCCCCTGCAAGCACCAGGGATTGCCAAGGCCTGCAATTAACAGGTCAGAATGCCTTTGATTATTTGTGAACTCAAATGAACTGACCAACAAAATAAGACCCGAAGCAGAGAACAGACTGACACGCCCCGACGTGGGGTTGCGGGGATGAGAAGAGACACACCAAAGAACGTATCTACTTATAGGCACAGCCCATAGACACAGGCAATAAGGGGTGAAGACCTGGGCTGGGGGTAGGGACTGGAAGGAGGGAGAAAAATGGGAGACATCTGTAATACTATCAACTATAAAAAACATATTTTTAAAAATGCCTTTGTGTGACAGGGCGAAGGGCGGACAGGAGGGAGGGAGCGGCGGGGAGGAGCTATGGCCAATGGCAGGCTCCGGGAGGCGGGACGCTGGCACTCTCGGGGCAGGTGTCAGTGCTAGATAAAGGGGTGCTTCCATCCCAGGGGACACCCAGGAGGAAAATGAGTGCAGAGCTTTATGTGCAAAGTGAAGACGACCATGCTGCCTGTCTTGAAGGTTGTTGTGAAGGTTACATGGGTCTCTGGGTATGAAACAGCCAGAACAGCGCTGGGCCAACAGCAAGAAGGTGGGGCTGTCAGCAGCATCCTACGTGGTCTTTCCGGAACGCGGGCCCCTCCTGCCCCTCCATGTGGAGTTATCAGCAGAAACCACAAACCCACGTCCCCCAGGGCTGGGCAGGGAACCCAGAGGAGAGCTTGGGCCGGGGATAGAGGCCAAGGTGCGCGAGGAGGTCACCCCGCACACACAGGGGCAGTGCACCCCGGCTCCGCCCAGGGACAGCCAGGCCACCCGCATTCTCAAGGAGAGTCGGAGAAGACTAATTTTGTGTGAAAATCCACAGTTTCAAAAATCCACTCTGCTAAACCACCGCAGACGAGACTCATGGGCTGCCCATGTTTAGCTTTGCTGGGGAGCAGTTTTCTGAGGACATCGGGGTCCATGTCCACTCCCCCAAACCTGCGGTCACCAGCCTGGCCGGGCCTAGTGCCCACACCCTGTACTCCACCCTGAGTCCCCCCATCAGCCCAACCCCCAACCTCCCGCCCCCGGCCCTGAGAGCCAGGAACCCCCAAGTCAGCTACACGGGAAATGCACGCTCAGACAACATGGGAATCGTTAGATGGAAAAGGGAAACCGTGGGGAAGAGCCGTCCAGTCAAGAGCTTAAGAGGAGGCTACAGAGCTCACCCTGAAGCTGTGGACCAATCACTAAAACTGAACCGAAAAGTGCGGTCTTACGAAAAGCCATTGGAAGAATAAAAGGAAATTTATTGGACCCGGTTTAACCTTTGGGAGCGGGCATCAGCTGTGGTTTTTTTTCATGCTTCGTGCACAAGGTTGGTTTTCCCTATAAAAGGGTCATTTTGCCAAGTTTGGGAAAAATCGTAATTGATACCTTTGGTAATTTACTAGATTACAGATACCAATCACTGATTCCTAGATCCCCACCCCCCCAGTTGGATGTTTCTGATCATCTTGAAAAATAATAACTCATGAAGTATTCAAAAAAATTTTTTTAAGCAAAGGAAAACAGCACTAAGAAGTTGAAATTCAAATGTGCCAGTTGTCACTGGCAGAACCGCTCCTGCTGTAAGCCCAGAATTCAAGAAAGCTCAAAAAATGTGATGATTGTCTGTCTTTTCCACAGAAGTCCTGAGAGAATCTTAAAATTCTGATCTCTTACGTATGTAAAGGAAACTGGCTCTTTTCTTTCTTCTTTTTTTCTTCCTCTTACACACCTCTCTCTCTCTTCTTCCCTCCCTCCCTTCCTCTCTTGGCACATGGCTAAATTAATCTCTCAAATTCTCTTGCAACTTCATTTTACTCCGTCTGAAGCTACAGGTTAAAAACTTTTGAAGCACATTCCATAATCCCCATGTCTCAATATATTTCTCTTTCTGAATTTATTCAACTTTAAAAACAAAGAAGCAAAAAAAAAAAGGTGAAGGTGATCGATTATAAATAAGGGCTTAGAGATATCAGAAAGCATGGCGATCCATGGCAACATCCATCCACGCGTTGATGCAACACGTATCATAAGCAAAACCTGATTCCCTTAGGGGTACAAAGTCTGTCCGAATCCTAACATCTACTCGTGAAAGTAGAAGGACATTGCTCAAAATCGATTCTGTTTTCAGAAGAAGCCAGCTGTACACTTAGGCTTTTAGGTTAGCATGTCCTAGGTAAAACTAACGTAAAGTTAAGCGTCTAAGACTCGTCTAAGATGACAACACCACTCGGATACACCTGTAAGAGCTGGTGAGAATGTGAAATAAAACTCGGTTTTTATTTGCCTCTAATCTCTTCCTGTGTGGTGCAATGGTTTTCACCTTTTATATAGCCCCATCTTTTCAACACTTTCCCACAGTATTTCTTGGGTTAGTTCTAAGCTCAGAAATCCTTCCCGCTCAGAAAGGCCCCACTCTCTATGTGTCTATGGCAACTCCTCACGTCACTCAGAGTGTCTGGACGTGCCGTTATGAACAGCCGACTGGCCCGGGGCCTTGTTAGGCAAGGCCTTCTCCCTCTCTGTGACGTCTTCTCCCAGCATCCCGGGAAGTAAAAGCGAGGAAACACCGACGTGAAAGAAGAAGGGAGACCGAGCCACACCTCAACCAGCCCCAGATTGACAGACATCAGAGGAAATGAAACACAGAAGTGCATCCCAGCTCTCAGACCGCCTTTCGGAATCAGCAGCACCTGCCTGGCGGGTCCCCCAGGGAGGAGCCCTTCTCAACGGAGACCAGGCGCCCTTCCCAGGGCCGCTCCTCTCACTCCCCTTTCCAGAACATTCTGGGCAGTGGTTGAGCCGAGGATCTGAAGAAGCCTGCACATCAGCAGGAGGCTCCTGGCGGGGACAGCCACACAGCGTGACAGGGCACCCCCAGGTCTGCTTCCGGGGGCGGGGGGTTGGGGAGATGCTGAGCGCACGCGTCCCGGAGAAGGACGGGGTTAAGGATGGGGCGTGAGAAGGGGACACTCACGAGAAACCCTCCGGTGCCCGCGTTCCTGGCGAGCGTCAGGCCGAGGCTCATGTTGGTTTTTATCTCCGTCACGTTGGGGATGCTCACGGAAGCTTCAAGGGAAAAGTGAAAGCGCGTTAGGTTCCTGCCTTCATTACAGCTGCTGGAAAACCCAGGCTCATGCACGCTTCTGTGCAGCGCTGAGCTCCGTGTCGCCCGTCGAGTGCCATCTGCACGTGGCCAGCGCAGGGGCGTGAGCGACCTCGGTGACCGGCAGCTCACTCACCTGCGAGGCTGGGCAGTGAGCTGTGGGGGTGGGTCTGGAGGGGGCGGCACCCGGAGGCCTTGCCATTGAACAATGTCACAGCGCCGGCCAGGCCAACACATCTGAGCGCGCCTCTGGCTTCCAGTTTGCCACCCCTGTTCTTTCCAAGGCCCGAATACTCTACCTAATGCTCCATTCTCATCAGAAAGAAATACCCGTAGAGCATTATGAAGAAGGACCACATGGCCCAGCCGGCGGGGCTCAGTGACTGAGCATTGACCTAGGAACCAGGAGGTCAGGGTTCGATTCCCGGTCAGGGTGCATGCCCTCATGAAAAGCTTGCTATGTAAAAAGCCAACCACCGGCCAGTGTGGCTCAGTGGTTGAGCATTGACCCATGCACGAGGTGGTCACCAATTCTGTTCCCGGGGGCACATGCCCGATTGCAGGCTTCATCCCCAGTGGGGGGCGTGCAGGAGGCAGTTGATCCACGATTCTCTCTCATCAATGATGTCTCTCTCTCTCTCTCCCCCCATCCCACTTCCTCTCTGAAATCATTAAAAATATATATTTTTTTAAAAAAGAAAGCCATATAGTCAAATCTGGCTCAAAGCAATAATGAGCCGACTTTGGAAGGAGAGCCCGAGACTAGCCCGTCACATGATAAATCTCTCCAGCCCGTCGCCCGGAAGTGCCAGCTCGGCCTCTCGGGGTTACCTGGAGGGGAGGCCCTGGAGGAACTCCCTTTCCTTGTTTCTGAGAGGAGGGAGCCACTCCCCAGGGACCAGGGAGAACTCCACCCACTCCACTCTGCTCTCGACTGACAGTCCCTGCCTCTGACCGCCCCCCTTCCCCCTCCCTATGAATAGGACCGGCTCCTTTGGGTCAGAAAAGCTCTGTTTTCCTAACTCTGCTCACCACTCTCCTCTGGAAATGGAGTCTCCTTTCCCTCCCTGACCCTGGTCACCTCACACGTGCTCCTAAGCCCCGCTCTCCCGTCAGCCCTGTCGGGGTGATGCCCCAGCCAAGACAGTGTCAAAACAGGGCGACATGGCTTCCGCAGAGAAAAACAGGAGAACTTCTGTGCGTATGGTTTTACTTTTTAAATTTGTCATTTATAATTTTTAAAAAATAGAATGTATGCCTCTGGGGTGAGTGTTTAAAAGCTAGAGGTGTTGTGGGACGTTGGGGCTGGGAGAATAAAACTTTCGAGCACTCACCCCGAGATGTTTTTATTTTTAGAAATTGTACATTTGCACGTGCCTGCAGCGAGGGGGAGGGTTGAGGACGTCTGGAGAGCATGGACCTAGATGACCCCCCACCCCAGCCACGGGCCCTATTGGCACTCACCCCATTGCACTGAGACTAGGGTTACTGAGCGCCTACTAGACCCAGAAATGGTGCAGGGAGACAGGGAGGGGTCAGAAACACCCGCCCTGGTCTCTAAGCCTTTGCCACTGGTTTGAATCTCTCCTTCCCTCCATTTCCATGGCACTGTTTCCCTAATCCACGCCTTCTTTTTTTTAAAATGTGTTTTTATTGATTTCAGAGAGGAAGGGAGAGGGAGAGAGACAGAAACATTCATGATGAGAGAGAATCATGGATCGGCTGCCTCCTGCACGCCCCACACTGGGGATCGAGCCCGCAACCTGGGCCTGTGCCTGACCGGGAAGCACACCCTGACCTCCTGGGTCGTGGATAGATGCTCAAGTCCTGAGCCCCGCGGCCGCACCACGCCTTGGTTCCTCAGGGCTCCCTGACCCCTCGGCGCAGGCTCTTTTGACCGATGACGAGGAAGGAATTGAGCAACATGTGACATGCCCCGGGACGTGCTGTGTGGAAGCATGACTCACTCAGGCTTCCAGTAACTTTTAGTAACTTCCGCATTAATAGAAAGCATCTGCGATGAGGGAATGAAAACAGCATTTCCAGCCATTTCACATCATTCCCGGGCGCGAATGTTCTTATCGGAATGGAGTCATTCAGACACAGCGCCCGACGTCAGCCTCAGGACTGACATCTCTGCACTTCATGGGGTTTCTTTTGGGGAGAGGGAGTGGGAAGTTTGGGCAGCCTTCGATTTCTGTAAATTATCAGAAAAACGCTCCTGAACGCGGGTGGGAACCGGCTCCCGTCTCGGGGCGGCCGGTGCAGGGGGCAGCCCGTTCCCACGCGTCTCAGTAAACCAGCCTTCACACTCGGTGGGAGATCTGGCTACAGTTGGGCCAACACCACCGAGAACAGGAAGGCCAGGAAAGCTGCCTGCAGTTCTTGCAGACAGAACCAGGACGGGTCCTGCTACTTTTCAATCTTGTGTAACACAGCAGGTTCTGCTAGCTGTGAGGAACCGCGCTCTGCCCGCAGCTCACCTTGCAAATTGAGCTTCTCGCAGGCCGTGGGCAGGTGGAGCGGACATCTGTACACGTCACCCATGCGGTTGTCCGGGGAGCCACTCCACGGCGAGCCGACCAGCAACCTGCAGACGGGAGTGCGTTCTCATGAGATATGGAATGTTAGCTAGTGCTTCCCACAGAGGACGCTGACCGCAGAGACGCGGAGAACGACCTTCGATGTCCATTTCTCATGACTCTTCCTATTTGTTCAGCTATAAATCGGTCTCCTTCCTTCCTCTCTGCTCCTCAGGGTGCTGGGCGGGGCCTGGAATGCGGCTGTCTGGCCCCGGCAGCCTGGAGCCTCTCTGAGCAGAGCTGAGCAATGGGCACATAACGCCAGCCCCAATGTCAGCCGCACGGAAAGGATTTGGTTATCTGTCTATGAAGCTTAAATCCTTCCATAGCCATTGGTATAAACATTTTACCCATTAACCAGCATGTGCCCTAGGCTGCATTACAGTGGATTAAAAAGAGCCCCAGGCACACTTCTGTTTACTTAATCTGATAAAAGTGTTTAAAATAGTGACAACTAAACCAATAATACAGATGCATGACAAGATATGGGTAAGTTCCCCTCTGGAACAAATACAAGGCTGGTTGAAGCACGGAGGTGCCCGTCGGCAGAGGGGACCAGGACAATCCTGAGAGCAGGAAAACACGGAGCATGTGAGAGACTGTTACTGGGTCCGTAGTAAGTCCTCCCTTATTCGGTTGATAGAATTATTCTGGAGGGAATCTCGACTTTCCTAAGTCTGCCCGACAGGAAGAGGAGAGAGGCTGGTGTATTTACCCAGAGGATTTCATGTGACAACTGGAGAGGAGGAGGCAGGCGAGGAGAGGGTGGGACGTCGGGACAG